CACCTGAGGCCATATTACGTTTATTTTGTGCTCTGGTCAGGCCCAGGCTCGAATTCGCTTCTGTCGTGTGGAACCATTTAACGGAGACTGAATCTAGACGTATTGAAGCGGTGCAAAGGCGTTTGGTTCGCATAGTCTATGATCGATACTTCCACAGGAGACTTTACTTCGACCACCATTCTCTGCTTAAGATTTTGAATCTCAGCACTTTGGATGACCGAAGGCATTGCCGAGATGCGGCTTTTCTACAAAAGCTTATCCAGGGTGTAATTGACGTACCTGACCTTTTGGACAGCATAAAGTTACGTGTGCCAACGAAATTCACGCGACAGTGCGACATGTTCTACCCCGACATGCGATTAAAGGAGTCACCAATCTATCGTATTCAGACATCATGCAACCTCCTTGTCCAGCACGATTTTTTTTTTCATGCCTTATTTTACCTTTAACACCTGATGTGTATTTTATGTACTTTGTTACGACTGTTTTATTATGCTGACTGTTCTAATATGACTATTGTGGTTTCCATGTTTGCATGTTTCATAGGAATCTGACTTCTGTGCACCAATGTCAAAACCATTATGGTGTTTTTGGGCACGCAATAAATAAATATCAAATATCAAATATCAAATAATCGGCGTTCAAGCACGCGCACCCATACATCTGACTGCATAGCCATAGGACGTCCACAAAACGCGACGACTTTACCGACGCCGTGCTGGTTGCAAAATGATACTCGTTCACTTCGTTTGATTATGCTGTTTTGTGTTACATAGAACTCAAATCGAATGGTTTACTTTTTACGCGCGGGGCGTACGCTTTCCTTCTTGATTCGACCTCTTTCAAGCTGAGGTCACGGTCAAAAACATCGACGCGTATTGAGTAAGTGCAGCCATCTTGAGATCTAAGCGATCACGCTAAGGACGCTGAGGGCAGTCCGCTCTACAACTTGTGAAGCGGAGCGCACGCTCACTCCGCTAACTATACGCTCCAACTCAGAGCGGGCCACGCATGCGCGGTGGCGACGATGCTTCTCGCACAGCGTAAAGTAGAGCAAAGAGGGCTCATAAAAGTGGCCTACTAATACTCACAGATTACGAACGCGCTCGTCGAGACTTGTCCTGACACTGCCCATGTACACCTTTGGCGTATAGAAAAAAGTAACTTTTCACCAGACAGAGCAGCTGTGCTAGAAACAATGGAAACGCGAAATTTACACAAACCATACAGGGTCTCACCTGTGAGCACAGCTCTAGTTTCGCCAGGGTCAACCACCTATGTTTGTTCATGTCAGCGAGCAGGTGGCCGAACCTCTCGTTGATGTGACCCACGATGAGGTTCACAGAACTGAAGAACACCGACAAGTTCCGTCCAAACGCTCATCCAAGTACGAACAGACGGTTGGGATAGGCCAGTCGAGGAAAAACCATGCAAATCGTCTCGCCAGATTGGCAACACCCTGCGCCGATCTGTCGGGTGCTGGTATTTGGAGGCCCGCATGCAGAACAGCCAGGTCCTTCTTTAAGCAGGATAGCTTCCTAAAGGGTTTCTTTTCTACGTTGGAAATATCCAGCTGACCGCGTTCGGAAAGGAAGCTTTGGCGCTTGATGGCACGAGGGATACGAATCATAGATTCGATGTCTCGCCAGCTTAATCTCGTTAGTAGAAGTCTCCTTCCTTGAGAACAGCGGGGATTCATCGTGCAGATGCCTTGCTAGCCTTGAGCAACACTGTACTCGTACTACGCAAAAGGATGTACTCGCAATGCGCAAACTTCGTCCTTTTCTCTTATTTTAGAGCGCAGCTCTTAGGGGCCCGTTCCCGGCTCGAGCGGCGTCGGCGTCGCCGTCGGCGTCGGCGTAACCAAGGTCATCCCAAGGTCACGTGACCCCGAAGGTCACGTGACCCCTCCCAAGGTCATCTCAAGGTCACGTGACCCCCTGAAGGTCACGTGACCCCCAAGGTCACGTGACCCCTCGAGGTCACGTGACCCCTTCCAAGGTCATCTCAAGGTCACGTGACCCCCAAGTCACGTGACCCCTCTGAGGTCACGTGACCCCCGAGGTCACGTGGTCTCCTGCCCAAGGTCACGTGACCCCCGAGGTCACGTGACCCCTTCCAAGGTCATCTCAAGGTCACGTGACCCCAAGGTGACCCCCACGTGACCCCTCTGAGGTCACGTGACCCCCCGAGGTCACGTGACCCCTCCAGGTCACGTGACCCCCAAGGTCACGTGGGGGTCACCTTGGGGGTCACGTGACCTTGAGGTGACCCCCAGGTCACGCCTCCCCGAGGTCACGTGACCCCCTCCCCGAAGTCACGTGACACCCCCCCCCCCCCGAGGTCACGTGACCCCCCCCCCGGAGCATATTAAAGAATGAGGGGAGGAGGAGGAGAAGGGGGAGGGGTCTACCCTCCCCTCAGTACCCTTCACTCCTCCTCCTCAAGAGCTGCGCTCCAATTCGGCGTTACAGGGATTTGTAAACGGCTTTCACTTTTTTCTACTTCGAATAAGTAAATCTGTTTCAGTTTTAATTCGAGTGGAGCAGAAGCTACAAGAGCGAGTGCCGGCCTTTCAGCGTCCTTGATAAGCACGCGCGCTCGTGCAGTGCAAGTACCGTTTAGACCAACATGCTCATGCTTATACCTTCGGCTTCACTCGCACACAAGGTGGAACGATTATATTTATATTTTATAGCTTAATATATTTTCGGGTGTGTGCCTACTCTTTTGTGTTTATTATTGTCGCCTTCGTTTTTACTACCTCTACAATCACGCTCCCTTTTACTCTCTTGGTGTTAACGCTTAGGTTTTTTTGTCTTACTAGTACTATAAACGTCCGCTTGTGGGGTTACGCAAGCAAATTTTTCGAACCCGCTCAAAACGCTCTTACGCTGAAGAAAAACGCTCTACTAAAACGCGTTTTTGGACCTCCGCTTTCCATTCCGGCGAAGCGGGCCGCGCATGCGCAGTTTGGCACCCTCAGAGCGGAGCGGAAGATGAAAACGGTCTACTAAAACTCTCTATTGATACACGACCGCACATCGGTACGATGCTCATCCAGATCGAAACGGGCAGGGGTGGCGATGGAACCCAGGGTCCCTGGGTTCGGCAGTGCGAGCCCTGAGCTTGGTCGCGCTAACCCATTCGGCCACCGATCCCCCCCTGTTTTGTATGATTTCTGTCTGCTGCACCGCATAAAAAGTAGGCCCAATGAGAGGCGACGCATCTATGAATAGCGATGCCATGGCAACGTGCTGTGTTTCGCCGCCGCGCAACGAGCTTATACTTTCAATTTTAGAGTGACCGCGGCCGATACCAAGACCTATGCATCCAGTCCAACGATAAGAATGTGCCCGGTAACCTCGCTAGGTCACACCGAAGAGTAAAGGCCGGTTCAGACACTTGCGTTTGAGTGCATTTGGCTGCGTTGCGTTGAGAACCGAAAGCGAGTCACCGGCACATCTGTGCTTCGTATGGAGCATGGAATCCAAATCAAGGAATCATCTTGGCACGCGATAGAAGCAGCAGGGATATCCTGGTTTCTTGCAGCCGCAACGCAGTCAAACGCAACTGTCTGAACCTGGCTTAACACGCCTGCAGTAAAGCCCCCTCGTGTGTTTGTCTTTAAAGCGGCATCAAATCATCAAATATGCCAGTGGATGAGCCCTTGCCTCGTGCGACATTTGGAAGCAAATGGCGGCGCAGAAGTAGGATGAGCGGCTGTGGAGATATGGTCCCTAAAAAGACTTTCTAGAAAGGCAGTCTTTGTAGGGATTATAATGGAGCTGCCCCTGGAAGGAAATTGCGGTGCAGCTCTCGGTCCGGCCGTCGTGGTACGTTGTTTCTTACTTTCGCCAACAGTGGTTGTCGGTACTTGTAAAAACCGGTAAGAGTGAATTTTATCCGGAACGTTTAGCTCACAGAGCTGGTTTGGCTTCCCTTGCTGCTATCCGCCGCTTCACATCTGGGTCATTTTCAGGCCCATCTTATGTTTGCAAAAGAAAACATGCGATGTGCCATATCTCAACTTGAGAGCTCGGGACATGCTTTGTTTCGTCATCTATAACGTTTCCCGAAAACAGTTACAGGATATTTTTCCGTCAATACTAAACTAGGCATCGCTCAAGGTTTTTTGTCCGTCCGTATGTATGGATAACGGTCATAACCAGGCGCTAATGTTTAAATAATATGTTTCTTGATCAAACGTTATAGCTGATTTTTCTGAAAGTTTCTATGGGAAAACGGGGCCCGCTTTTGCCCATTTTCGGGAAGTGGCGCCATTCGTCTGTATGTATTTGAGGGCTCCGTCGGCCGCCATTTTCCAACACAAAATTTCAGAAAGTCACTCATAATTTTTCAATAAGAAAAGTAAGACTTAGTTCTGAAACTCTGCCACCTAATATTTTGACGGGCTTTGCATGGAAGTACAGGGTGTCACGAAAGAAAATTTACACGGTCTTTTTACCGCAAAAATAAACTAGGGATCGCCGAGCGCTCATTCTCCGTCCAAAGGTAGCGCTATAGAGGTCACAACCAGATGGCAAAGTTTCAACCCGATCCGATAACTTAATCAAAAGTTATAAGTGATTTTCTGAAAATATTAATGGGAAAATGGCGGCCGACGGAGTTTTTGAACACATGGGGCTCTATGGCACCAGAAACCGAAAACGGGCAAAAATGGGCTCCATTTTCCTATTGAAATTTTCAGAAAATCACTTCTAACTTTTGATTAAGTTATCGGATCGGGCTGAAACTTTGGCATCTGGTTGTTAACTCTAGCTCTACCTTTGGGCGGAGAATGAGCGTTCGGCGATGCCTACTTCATTTTTGCGGTAAAAAATATCGTGTAAATTTTCTTTTGTGACAGCCTGTATATTTCTTATGGCCATCCTAAAGTCTTTTTTTCCTTGGAACGTGGGGCTAAGGTATCAAACTGCCAAATTGACATTCTCTGCAAAATCTTTTTATACGGGTTCAGTTGAATAAAACCATCGAATTTAATTTGAATCAGTCGAGTCCCTGGCTTCACATTCCTGAAAGTCAGAGGGAAAACAGTTCATGCCTAATGTCAATACCGAATGTCCGTTGGCTTCTTGATTCACCCTGAAGGCTTCCAGTTTCTTTAAGTCTCCGGACGTTACAGACGGGTGTAACTTTTGAATGGCTTTGTCAAATTGCTCTAAGTTAAGTTCCGGCTCTAAGAGAGCTTCCTTCGGGATGTCTTTGCAGGACATCTTCATAGCTCCGGGCGTATCAGGCTTACACGGCGTCAGAAAGTCACCGGCGCTCGTCATCGCGCCATTTCTCTTAAATCCCTCGACCTTGCAGAAGTGAGTGGCCAGCTTGAGACTCTGCGCAACCTCAATCCTCGCTTCTCTTATTGAGAGCGAAATGTCTTCGCAGGTAAACCCTTCCGTCTTCACAGCCAGGCTCGTAAAGTCCTCCTCTGTGAACTGGTGTCGAACCTCCTTGAGCAAACTCCGGAGCATCGCGTCCCTAGTTTCTTCCGACGGCAGCGGCACGTACGACCACTTTCGAAAAACGCGGGCCAGCGCGGGGTCGACAGCCCAAGGTGACTTGGTGGCTCCTATCACTGTGATTTGCTTCTTGAACAGGAGTCCCTCTAGAAGACTCAAGAAATCCGCTTTGACGCGGTACAAAAACCCTGAGGTCTCGCCGGTCATCCCAGAGCCACTCAAGGCGTCCAGTTCATCCAGGAAGAGGACACTCGGAGCGTGGTTCAGGACCATCTCGAATAAGGTGCGAACGGTCAGGTTCTCGTTGCCCACAAGGCACTTGGAGGCGAAGTGTTGGCACATGACGTAGAAGAAGGTCGAGTCGTTGCATTCAGTGGCTAGGGCCTTGCCCACGTGGGACTTGCCGCAGCCGGTTGGGCCGTAGAGCATCAAACTGGTCAGAGGCTTGGCGTCTTCGAAGAGCGTGGGGTGCTTGACGGGGTACACAACATTCAGCATGAGGGCTCGCTTCAACGTCTCCAGGCCGAAGACGTCCGACCAGCGAACTTGGGCTTCTCCGAGAACGACGACGCCGCTCGTGTGAAAGGCCTTTGTGTCTTCACATCCACGTGCCCTGGATTTGAGAAAACCGCAATTATTTTTTCAATTCCAAAAATAAGAATTTACTGCCAACTCATTATAAATCCAATTTTATATATATCTACCCTCCTAGTACAAGAGTCATCATTAGCAGCCTGATTTCTACTCAAAGTTGCAGTTGGCAAAAGTATCCTCCTTACGTTAAGGCCGTACATTGGTGATATGCACGTTTCCTTAGCAGTTGTGTAAACACAAATGGTGAGCTTTCGTAATTCAATTTGTGATATTTAATTCTTAATTGTTATACATATGCTTGAAGAGGTATAATGGTTTTTAATATATGGGAAGCTCTCTTATGGGGGGTGTTCATTGGACGCGCTCAGATTTCGTGCGCAAGGCTATGGCCGCCAGTGAATACTCCCTATACTCCGTTCACCTCTAAGGTGAAAAGGCGGTGGAAGCTACGCGCTCACCGGGCCAATCAGCCGCCTCCCTTTCATCACCTTACCACATTCTCGGCTCGTGGGTATGGGTGAGAGCGTGATCACGTGGCAAAAGATCGACTTATGACTGGTCCAATGATCTCGTAGCTTCCATCGCACTGTCAGCTTAGGGACGAACGGCGTAGGGGACATAGTGTCCGGAATAGTAATGCTGCTAAGTGCGCTGACATATTTAAGAGCGTAATAAGTGAATTTGCCTCAAATGCTAATCATGCAGAACTGACAGGCAAAATGAAGAAATCAAGATTTAAAAAAAAAATTAATATTTATTTGATATATTCCAGATTTATTTGGTTTAAATCTTATTAATAGATATAAAGCACAGTAGGCATACAATTTCGGGGCCTAACTACGAGATAAATTGTTCGATATGGCAGACTGATTGGTCATTCCGACCAGCTACTGCAGTCTACAGTGCGAAAAAAAAAGATATTGTGAACTTAAAGTACAGTTTAATGAACACATTTTGTTGAGTAAACCCCGCAATAGTGGTGCAAAAATAGTTTGATTTGTTTTACTTGGTGAAGAGACTTTACTTACTTTTTCTTTCGCGTTCTCATTTTCTTGCAATAGGACATTACTTTTCTGTTAGCTTCTTTCGCATTTTTATTTAGATGCAAAAAGTCCGTAACTGGCTAACGACGTGGAGAGTAGAACGAAATGCCGAAATGCTGATCTGCTCAAAAAACCACTGTTTTGCTCTCGTGTTCAGCCTGATATAAATATGTCTCGCTTGACGATTCCTTGATTTAGAAACAAACCAAAACTACATAGAAAGCAATACAATTAGGCAAACCGCATATACAAAATGGTTTTTAAATAATCTTTGTAGCAAAGCTTTGATTTGAATCACCACAGTACACTAGGTCCTAATTAATTGATTTAAATCCCGATTTAGGTCATGATCTATATCCTAATTGAAAAAAATTACTGAAATCATCTTGGTTTCTATTCCCCACGCTGCAGGCTAGTGGCCACACCGTGCACTCGCGAGGATAGGTTTCGTTCTGGTGTTATTCGCATGTGTATCTAACTACCTCTTTGCTGAGTGCCTGTTTGAAAGGAGAGTCATTTCATAAAAAAATTGCGTAATAAGCATAACATAACTTATATAAATTGTATGAGGCGTGTATATCAGTTCGTATCTATTTTTATATGCTATGATGTCTGTAAAGGACACACCAATATAATGGGTGATTTCATCTGAAATCTTGCCGGCGAAAAAGTCGAACATTTTAATTTATTTTTTTTTATTTTGACGAAACCAATGTCTGTTGCAGGGGAATTCCTACCTATCAGAAAGGTGCGAGCAGCAGGTTTGGATAATATTTTGTTCCCGAGTTATGGAGCGGAGAGTCGGCCAGGATGGAAATTAGCGTTGTTTCCGACTGTTCAAGGTCGCGTGTTTGACTCGCTCGTCTCCCGGGTGTTTGGACTCCACGTTATTTTTTTTTTATTTTTGCCTATAACTTTGTGGACACTATGAAGCGATTGTAATCTAATGAAATCCTCTGAGGCGTCATAGTTTTTTTTAATTTATTTTCACACTTACCTTTCAAATTGATCGTTTTATTTAATTTGATAGGCTGTCCTCCGACCTCTATCATTTTGATGTAAATGGAAAGTCAAAAAGGAGTTCTTTATAAATATATATATAAATCGTTCAGTTGTGCACATTATGTGTTTTATTACTATGTCACAAAAATCGCAAAGAGTTTGAAAGTTGCAAGTTTAAAATTAATTTTGTCAAAAAACCCATCTTTTGTGTCCTGGTACAAAAGTAAGTTTTCTGCCAAGAATCGTTAATAAGTGTTATATTTTGTTTGCATGGCCTGTATTCTAATCCAAATATTGTGGAATGGGTTTTTTCATTAGCTAAAACGCAAGTAACCTTATGGAGCTTTGATGTCTTGGTGAACATTTATATTACTATATTTCTCGGGAGATAAGTTTACTTCCTGCTGCTGGACTCACTGTGAGGAGACAGGAATGAGACCGACGCTGTGTAAGGAAAATAAACTGTTTTACGTAGCGAAAAAATATAAAAATTTCAGGTCAAACATAGATAAAATAACATATTCATAGCCTCCTCTATACTCACAAAGCCTGGCACTTCGACGACAGAGCCATAGGGTGCCCGGTCGCAGATTTTGAGCGCGAGGATCTGGTAGCACAGAGCATTTCTCGGGGAGCCTGCAGTCAGCGCACAGCTTTTGCAGTGGCGATGACCCGAAACATGGTTTTCAAATCCGACGAGAAAAGAATTTTGAGCCCGAGGAACGCGAGGAGCACGAGCGGACATTCCATCGCTCGGGACAAGTGTGCTTCTCGCCTCAGCGGGGCGCCCGTTACATGCTTCTTGTCTGCCGCTCTACCTTTTCACTTTCGGCGGCCGCGTCTCATGGCGATCTGCCTGGCTTCGTCAGTATAGAGGATGCTATGACATATTGTGCAGTCTCCTACAAAATGAAAGACCCACTGGAAGCGCTTCGCCGAGAGGGTGGCTCTACCTTAAGCTGAGATTCCAGCCGATGTCACAAGCACGAGAGCTCGAGGTCGCTGCTTTGAAGCGCTCTTCCGCAGTACGAGCCCTAACGCTAGAAATGCACGTCTCAAAGCCAGGAGCGCTGCCTAGATCGCGCATGTAGCTTCGACTGCAGTCTCAGCTTAAAGGTGAACAGAGTATAGCCAGTATAGCTAAAGCCCTTCTATCCTGGGAAAAGTGGCGCCATTCACTGTTGTAAAAAGGCTCGAGACACGTGCCGCGCGCCACTTCTGGTTAAAACATGACGTAATTATCACACCTTAGTAGACCGATCTCACCAGCTAGTCTGAGTACGCCACCGCTGCCGACATGCATCGTGGGAGCTGTAGTCTTTCTGCACGTGCGACAACCCCGCTGGAGCTCTGCGCGTGTAGAGCACGAGGAGGCACGAGCTGACACGCGAACTGGCGTCTGCCTCCTACGAACTACAGCTATGGCGGCATCACGCATGCGTGGAATGCTTGGTGAGATCGGTCTCTTAGTGTATGTCATGCATCGCAGGACTTTGGCCATAAAGGCCGCTGTCAATAGGTGAGCTGCGTTTGACAACTTCCTGTTCCTTAGGAAATTTTATTTACCTGTTGGCAAACGACGACGATGATCTGCAACTGCGTTTTTGTGTTCGAAAAATCGCAATATATTGCGATTTTGCGCTCAATAAACTCAGTTGTAAGTCAGCGCTACGTCCGTGTCACTCCTTTGTCTGGTCCTCGTCTTTTCGCGCTGTTTTTAATTCATAATTATGTACCAACTCGTCCAAGCCTCAACTTTAGCTGTCTAAGCATGTTTTTGAAAGCTACAGTCTAAAGGTTTCAGAATTATGCTTCCACAAGCCTGCAGCTCATTGTCGTCGTTTATCAACAGTGAAGAAAATTTTCTAAGGAACCGGAAGTTGCCAAACGGCGCTCACCTATTCTTCTACTTTTTGTGAAGACTGGTTTGGACAATTGCGTTTTGGTGCGACCGAGTGAGTTGAACTCCATCTAGATAAAAGCTCATTGCATTGTTCCCTTTCCACATCACTACAATTGATATCCTACATCGCTAGCTATTGACCGAGGCAACCTGATCACGTGAATATGAAAGCAGATGTGAGAAATGGTGCGAACCAACACTAGCTTTTTCTCTCATCGGACCCTTAGTGTGTTTTGCATGTGTTAGAGTAGCACATCTTGCAGTATCCAGGCGGTGGTGCTGCCACACGTCCACTTATGACTGCTTACGGCAAGACGATTGTCATGGCGACCGAGGTCCACGATATTCGTCGCAGAGAAGTGCAAGGAGTCGTAAAACAGTCGGTCGCTCTCAAAACGTAAATATCCGAAGCAGCCCTGAGGCTTTCTTGCCTGCGACCACCAAGACATGGTAGTCTCAGAGAAGAGTTCATGCGCTGCGTTAGGTTAGGTTAGGTAAGGTTCCGCGGTCATTGCGACAAAGAAAACGGAAGCAACGATCTTACGGTGTTCTAGAGAAGACGGACACGTTACTTCCGCTCGAGGAGTGGCGTCGGAGCGGCGCGGCGGCATCGGCGTCTGCCCTGGACCCCAAGTACCGGATGAACTCGTGGGTCCGCTCAATGTAGCTGCTGCTCTCAAGGCGGATCTCCTTGGCGGCTAAGAAGTACAGGAACAGGGCGTGCTTGTACAGGCTGAATGCCTCGCCGTAGTTGTCCGCCGCGTCCTCGGCGGCCGCCCGATTGGCGAAGTCCGCGGCCCGGCGCACGGCCTCTTCGGCGTTCATCCCGTCTGTCGAGGGAGCCGGCTTAATTTTCGATGAGGCACTGGCAGATCCGTTCACGCTCTTGTGGCCTGGAATTTCGGCGTCCTCCCCAAGAAATGGGTTTCGTTTCTTCTTCTTTCTTTGGGGTGCCAGGGCGTTTCGAATTTCATCTTTATCGCTGTTATCTCTCACAGCAGCAATGGATACTGCCAAAGCCGTATATGGAACCTTTCTTAAGGGCGCCGCCATCTTAAGAATTACGGCGCCGACGACGCCGTTTAGTGGCTTAAAAGATATAAATACTGGCTCGTTCTGGAAGCACAGCTGGTGGGCAATGGTGTGGGTATGGGTACTGTGTACTTGAATACGGGATAGCGTTGGGACCGGAGCGGCTCGCGTGAGGCGTGTGGTGTCATAGCCTCCTATGTACTGGCAAAGCCTGGCAGATTGCCACGAGAAGCAGCCGCCGAAATGGAAGAGGTGGAGCGGCAGACCACGACCTACTGTAGTCCTGACCTGCCGAAAGACAAGAGTGGCAGCGCGTGGTTTTTAGTACTCAGAGAATCCGCAGCGTTTCGTAACGCTCTGAGTGCATGGCGCCACTTAAAGGTCTTTCTGCTTCCTAAGATATCCGCACGTCAATTTGAGGCGCGCAAGTCGCAGCTGCGTTATATGGTCCTGTCCTGTACACGGAACAGCTCTCCTACTGCGATTTCGACAATGCGCTTGTGAAATATTTTGTCACTAGGGGCGCCAGCTGCCGTCATAATTATTGCCGCGCGACCGTTGCAGATGGAGCATGGGTCGAACACGCGCATATATACTTACTAGACGGCTTTAATATGGATGTGCGACGGAGGATTACCGGTTTGTATGTTAGCATTATTTCTTCATAAACATTTGATAATTAACACATCAGACCTATTTCAATTCTTTCAGAAGGCATTGTGGGTCATTGCGCCCGGTTCATACCTTGAAACCCTTCCTAGACGCCGGCTTTCCTTTCACTCTTTATAACCGCATTTTTCTCGGCCACGCAGTTTGTGTAGTTTGAAAAGAATGGCCGAACAAACTTTTTCCAGTAAGAACTTGACCAGGGTTCTTTTTTTTTTGCTCAGGTGTTGCACCTTTGTGATCAAGTTGCAGAGCCCGAAAACATAAAAGCACTTTGGTGCTGCAGTACAATCTCGTTCTACCTCCTGGCACCACCCCTTCGCCCCTAATCAGCCAGAGAGAGGCGATTAGATCAAGATTGAAAATTTGTATTGTCCCGCTACGAGCGAAAATAATTGGTCCCGCCGCTGGTGCCGCGCTGCGGCGAGGTGGACCCCTGCGGAAGGGAAGGAAGAGCGGTAATGAGCTAGTGGCAGGGGCGGCAGGCGGCAGAGAGAACAGGCTGTGAGCTGCGTGTGGGTTCCGAAAAAACCTTTATCGCGCGCCCTCAACGGAGAAACCAGGCACTCCGCCGGCGACAGCTGGTCCCATAGGGGGCCCTTCTGTCGGCAGGTCAGGATTACAGTAGGTCGTGCGGCAGACAACAGATGAGAGGAGCCACGTGACTGGCGCCCCGCTGGGGCGAGACGCCGAAACACACTTCTCCCTACCTAACAAGTGTCTTTTGTGTCCTCGCCGCTGCAAAAGCTCTGCGCTGACGTCCAGGTTCCTCTAGAGTTCCTCTGTAAGCTCCCTATGGGAGCCAGAGTTCCGCGTCTGTTTTCCACGTGCCGCCGCGCCGCTATTCGCCGAGATCTGATCACGTGAGGATTCGGATTAAATGCTGTGCAGGAAAGTAGACGTTGCACGCGCCCCGACAGTACGTTCCCCTGCTTTTGAGCGCGCCGCGCGCCCCGTACGCGCGGCGCCGCTATTCGCCGAATTCAATAACGTGAGGAGTAGGATCAACATGCCGTGCAGGGAAGACGGCGCTACCGGGATGAACACGCAACTCTGGCTTCCGTAGGGAGCCTATCAGAAACTCTAGGTTCCCCGAGAAATGTCTCTTTAATTCTCTGTCCTACCAGATCCTCCCGTTCCAAATCTGCGATTGGGCACTCTATGGCTCCGTCATCGAACTGCCAGGCTTTGTGAGCATAGGGGAGGCTATGGTGGTGTAGATCGCGATAGGTGTCCACACCGGCACATAGGCAGCAGGGTCAGTATGGTGGTGGTTGTGCACGTGCACCGCGTGCACGCGCACTGGCGGCAGCACGTGCAAAATCAGAGACTTTATGCCACGGTGTAAGATAATACTCTTCAGGTGAGGACAGCGCACTCCTCGCGACGTGCCCGATAAAGTTCGCTCTTCACTCTCTCTCACTATGGTTTCAAGCGGCGCCGGCAGGTGACTCGCCGATCCGTGGGCACGTACAAGACGGCTCGTGCCGCCTCACGTACCACAGGCACAGAGCTCCAGCGAGGTTGTCGCACGTGCAGAAAGACCACGGTGTACCGGGGTGTTAAGGCAACGAGATCATTTGTTTCGCTCTCACACAGTTTCGCCGTTTGGCCGCCGGCGACACTGTTAGCCGCGGGCATGGTGGCAGCGGAAGGATGCAGTCTTTCAGATGCCCGTCGAACGAACACTATCTGATTCCTCGCGCCGCGCGTTCAGCCCCGCCGTGTCCTCACCTAAAGAGTGTATCTTACACCGTGCTTTATGCTGCCCTGTCGACTGCAGCGGCGTTATTGTTGTCCACGCACACAGCTTCACAAACTCCCATTGCCGAGCCGCGCCGGTCCAAGCACTACCTCGTATTCTGTTACACTGTAGTATTGGGAGAACTTGCCTATAGACTTAGCTATAATGGGCTAGAATACCCTGGCCGGAACTTGGCCGTTTGAATCGAGCTTGCTAATGACAGGCCACCAAACAGTGTACTAGAATACAGGGTAGTGATTGGACGGGCGCGGCGCAGGAATGGGAGCTTGTGAAATTGCGCGTGTTGACAGCAATAGCGGCGCTGCAGTGGACAGGGCAGCAGAATGTCGCTGGGGTCCGTACGCGCCGCCGCACGTGCGTGTGCACGCGTCGCACGCGCACAACCACCACCATACTGGCCCTACTGCCTCAGAGCCGTGTATACAGAGAGTTTGGTCAATGGCAGGCGTTGGCTGAGCCAGGGGGTGCACCAGACGCAGAAAGAGGGTTTGACATGCACACGAGCTTCGTGTTTAGTCCTCCTTCCCTCCCTCCCCCCCCCCCCCCCCCCCTGTCTCGGGGTTTTGTGTAAAGCATGCTTTCTTGGCCAACCAGAAGCCGAAAAGAATCCTCTAGAGGTGGTGCCGAGAAACAGTTTCAATCATAAATATGGGGTTTCATAGGCGCCTAAGAGTTGAACGTACCAACACTTCGTGGTTGAAAAAAGGGTGCATATAATGTTTCGATCATGATTATCCAGAAAGATGTAAGAAATCAATGTGGCCGCTCACACTCTAAGAAAAAGTGAGCACCCCCCCTAGTACTCATGCGTTTTGACGGCTGTAACTACCCCACAGGCTTATTTAACTACCCACTGGGCTCGAGCCACTGAGCGTTACCACCCTGTTGGCAAGTGACAAGCATGGGGTAGTCGCGTCTTATAAACACTTGAATTGAACATTCAAGTACATGCAGCCTTTCAATAGTATAAGTCACTTCAAAAATCTCAAAAAGTACTTGAAACTTGTTTTCTTTGTGCGTTGGTTACCATTTATTCAAATTTGAACCGGTCAAAACAGGCGTGTGGTGCAGTTCGCCTAAACTGGCAGAAAACAAACATGCCAAAGAGGTGGATACTTGGGCTAGTTGGTGGTTGCTATACATAATTAAACAGCGCACAAGGAGAGGGACAGAAAAGGAAGACAGAACAGGCAAGCGCTGACTCGCAACTGACGATTTACTATGAAAAGGAGAAGGAAGAAAACTACACACATGATTTTCCGATATATGTTCATGTGTGTAGTTTTCTTCCTTCTCCTTTTCATAGTAAATCGTCAGTTGCGAGTCAGCGCTTGCCTGTTCTGTCTTCCTTTTCTGTCCCTCTCCTTGTGCGCTGTTTAATTATGTATGCCAAAGAGTACAGGCAACCTTGGTAGGCACCTACTAAAACCCGAGGCAGATAAAAAGTATCGTGGTTGTCCGTTTTGGTTCCGTCGCGGGTTTTACCATGTACTGCTAGTAAACAGTTGGCAGCTGGCGTCGTGCTCGAGGAATTTAACCAAATCTCTAGAAAAGCACAGGAAGCTACGCACAGGCGTGACTTGACTGGAATGCTCGCCGGACGATATATTCTTGTCATCTTTTATTGTGCGGTTCAGTAAAGAGCGTGATCTCATTAAAGATGTGATCGGTCAGTTCTGCGTGCAGATCAGTTGCAAATGGCCTCCTCGGTTCCGCCGAACTTGCACGCCTGTCATACCCAATTTTTTTGCTTTCAAGTGCAGTGAAGTATTAAGCATTGAACACCACGACTGAGGCCGGACAGGACTAACGTACACAGATATCTGGGATCATGCCTGTGTATTTGAGTATTTCTGTGTCTTGGGATATATGATTCGCCTTCACTGGCTCATTTGGCACATTTCATCGAGCATACTCCATAAAAAATGCTTCAAACAAGTGTGTGTCATCCAAGGTGGAGTACTTTGAAGGGGACTAGGATTTCAGGCCTTTCAGCACGCGTTCCTTTTACCTATATAAAGGATTCCAAGTAAATTTCCAAAAATAAGGCGTTGGCAAACATACACGTGCCTATCGGTTTAGATTTTTTTTTTTTTTTAGAAAAAGTACTGCTGGAGGAGCCAGCAGGTGCAGCGCAGAGAACTATATTCTCGGCGTTCTTTGATGCTCGAGGCCGGTTCCGAACTTGAGTTTTAATGCGTTTGACAGCGTTGCGTCGAGAACCGAAAGCGACTCACCGGCACATCTGTGCTTCGTATGAAGCGTGGAATCCAATTCAAGGAATCGTCTTGGCACGCGATATAAGCAGCAGAGATGTCCTGGTTTCTCGCTGCCGCAACGCAGGCAGAAGCAACTGTCTGAACCAGGCTTCAGATAATTCAGCATACGTATTTCGCGTTCGCTGTAGGTGAAGGCACGGGCCCGAAAACGGCAATTCTGCACTGTCCTCTTGGCGCGAGCGCGAGGGCATAGAACGCATATTTGAAAGACACGCGCTTGAGCAGAAACAATTGTAGCGAAAAGAAGAAAACTGAAACAACGCTTCGGGGAGGACCCGCGGACTGGCTTCGTTAGAATCACCTGCGCGCGC